GTAGTAAAGTAAAAATTGGCTGTTTATTTTCATTTCCTTTTTCATTCCATTGATTGTCCATTGACACTTTTCCTTTGGCATGACTTGAGGACCTCTTTTCTCAATGCCACACTACACAGAGAAAAATAAAGCAATGCTATCCTAGTTGTTATTGGACTAGGCTATAAGTGATAGGACACCCAACTAACAAGTGAGTTAAATAGATATAAATTAGTTCTTCTTGCATAATCAGAAATCTGTAGGTAGGTTACTACATGAGTTGGCTCAGCAACTTAATAATGTCAATAAATCAGGCCAAATAGATTCTCTTGTCTGCTTCGTAATGGTGATAGAAGAGCTGCTTCAGCTCCTGCCATCACATCCGCACTAAAAACAGATGGAAGGAGAGGGAGTAGGGCCAACAGATTTTCACTTACATGTTATTGGCAATAACATACATTGACATTTGGAGACTACTTCTAGGAGAGGCTGGGGCCACAAGTAGTTTTTTAGATATTCTCTAGTTAAAGAAGGCAAATGAGAAAGAGTTTGTTACTAGGTGTTGGGTGAGACACGCTAATGTCTGCCACAGTCGCTTTTAGGAACTTCTGAAATCTAGCTGACCTAATGTTTAAGTTGCCCTTGACCTATTGCATCTTATGAGCTGTCTTAATGTATTTCTTTAGGTTAGCATTCCATTTAAAGACATTGTTAAAAACATGCTTTTAAAGTTATATTTTTGGATCATTTGTTTTTCATCAGTACACTTTGTCTTGGAACATCAGTAAGGTATTTTAAAATTATTTCCACATTGCCTACAGGCAAATAATGAAAACTTTCATTTTTAAGCCAGTGCATGTATTTTATGCTAATTTAATTTCTAAATTTTAAAGAACATGTTTACTTCATTTTGCTCTGCTGCCAGAATATTCTAATTTTGCTCTCATTTAGATTCTCCCACAATTGTATTGCTCTTAGTGTATATATGTTTTGATTGACAGTCAATGAAAATCTTGCTGGAGCTGAAGGAATTTTCCAGTTTTAAACTATCACAGTAACATATTTCTTTATTTTTCTAAACCTTTGTTTCAATTGGTCAATTTTTGAAAATTTACACACTTAATTAACCAAGGGAAATGTTAACTGCTTGCATTTTGGGGAAAGAAACATAGTATGCTTTTAAACAAGTGTAATTTTTGTGTCAAATTTCTCTTTTAAAAACATTTTGTGATAAAATGCACAGATAAAGTTGCTCATCATGGCCCTCCCTGGTGGCACAGCCGGTTAAAGCACAGCACTAAGAAGCTAAAGCTACTTCAGCATGAGTTCGATCTCTGCCCTGGAGGTGACCCACATGGCGTGGCAGACCTCTCCTGACCCACCGCTGCTCCCCTCAGCAGTGTAGTTCGTTGATCTGCCTGTTATGTTTCCACTCTGTCTCTGGTGAAGCCTCTCACCCACCACACCGCTGACCTGTACCCCAGTTCTGTATGCATAAATAAATAAATCTTTCTTTTTTAAAAAAATTTCTCATCATATCTATTGTTAAAAGTTCAGTTTAGTGACATTACATGTATTCACATTGCTAAGAAGCCATCACCACCCTCCATTTCCAGAATTTTCTCTTTGCCATTAATTAATTCCTCATTCCTTTTCCCCCAGCCCTGACAACTATTCTATTTTCTGTCTCTATGAATGTGACTAGACTGTGCCTATCACTTGAATCATATGGTGTTATTTGTCTTTTTTGTGATTGGCTTATTCACTTAGCATAATGTCTTGAGGTTCATCCATGTGGTAGCGTGTGTCAGAATTTCCTTTCATTTTCAGGTTGAGTAATATTCCCTTGTATGTGTGTCTGCAGCTTGACTGTTCTCCAGGTGATGGATGCTTGCATTGCTTTTACCTTTGACTACTGTGAATAATGCTGCCCAAGGGTTTCTGAGTCTTTTTTGGAGGCAGAAATGTTCTCCCAATGCAGTGGAGGTACACTGGCTGTTTGAAGGATTAGTTGTGTGCATGCGTGTTGGAAGATGTGCTCTCTGTTCAGCATATGTTGACAGAGCACTGGGTCTGATGTTGGCTTTGCTAGACATTGAGTTACCACATAAGAAAGCAGCTCTTCTCCCCCCAACTCCCGACCCCCTACCCTTGGATATATATTTTTTTAAAGATCTATTTTTATTTGTTTATTTTTTTATGCATACAAGAACTGGGGTGTAGACCAGAGCTGTGGAGTTGGGTTGGGTGAGATGATTCACCAGAGACAGAGTGGCGGAACAGGACAGGTAGATGTACTGGAATACTCTGCTGAACAGAGCAGGGCTGGTGAGACAGGAGAGGTCTGCTGCACCATGTGGGTCACCTCCCCAGCCCAGGATCGAACTTGTGCTTCAGTGGCTGCGGATAGCTTCGTAGTACTGCGTTTTAACCCAAAGTGCTACCAGGGAGGGCCCAGACATAACTTTTTTTTTTAAAGATTTATTTAGTTATGTATACAGAACTGGGGTACAGGCCAGAGGTGCTGAGGTGCAGGGGGTGAGAGGATTCACCAGAGACAGAGTGGGGAGCAGAAAAGGCAGATCGACGTACACTGCTGAAGGGAGCAGTGGGTGAGACAGGAGAGGTCTGCTGCACTATGTGGTCATCTCCTGGGCCTAGGATTGAACTCGCGCTGAAGCGGCTGTGATTTGCTTGCAGTGCTGCACTTTAACCCATTGTGCCACCAGGAAGGGCAGACATAACTTTTAACTGAATAATACATATGGTATTGATGGAGTACATAATTTAATTTTTTAATTAAATATACAAAAAAAGAACTTCTCTTTGATAACTTCTGATAATGGTGTCAACTATGATGTGGATAATCAGAACCTCCCTGAAATATTAATGATTCCAAAGTATTCCTCTGGCTTGTTGTCATGTTCTAATATTTTGAAAGGTTGGAAAGGAGGCCTGTTCAGGGGCAGCGGCTAGTGGGAGTGAGTTTCATTTAGAAGGGCCTCAGTGAGTGAGAATGTATCCAGATTCCACGGCAGGGTCCTGCCAAAACATGGAAGGTGTTGTGTGTGCTGAATTTGAAGGCAGAAAATCTGAATTTGTGTCCTAGATCTCCCTCTTAGGAACAAGCTCTAAGTCTACACCAGGAACTCTTCTGGAGGCTTCCATGCATTGACCTGCACAACAGTCCCCTAGGGAGAGCTTCCCAACTTACAAAGAATTGAACCCGTGTGTGGAGCTGAGCTCCTTGCCTCGGTTGTCTCAGTTAATAAATACTGACACCAGGGCTGGTGTCCAGGTAGCCTAACTCTGGCACGGGGACTCATCAGTGCTCTGCTAAACTGTCTTCTGGACATCAGGATCTGGAGGGGGAATTGAGAAGAATCAGTAGATGTGAAAAGTATTCTGGATGGCAGAGCTGCACTAAACATTAGTAGAGAGTGTTGTCATTTTTTTTTTAAAGATTTATTTATTTTTCATACAGAACTGGGGTACAGGTCAGAGATACGGAGGGTGAGAGGATACTCCAGAGACAGAGTGGGGAGCAGAACAGGCAGATCCACGAAGTGTGTCAGGAGAGGTCTGCCGCGCCATGTGGATCTCCTCTGGGGCAGGTGGGGATCAAACTCATGCGGAAGTGGCTTGAGCTTCTTAGTGCTGTGCTTTCACCCACTGTGCCACCAGGGAGGGCCGAGAGTGTTGTCATTTTAAAGACCTTCTTCCCTTCTTACAAGCAAAACCTGGGTTCCGGCTGGTAGTGGGCAAAACCTATTCCCCTGTGGATTTGCAGTCACGACACTGAGGAGTTCATTTCAGGTGTGGACAGTGTGGAGTGCTGGGGCTGCTGTAACGAAGTACCACAAGCTGGGGGACATAGAACAACAGCCATATGTGGCCTCACAGTTCTGGAAATCAGGGTGTCCATAGGGCTTTGTGGACTCTGAGGTACTAAGGGAAGATCTGGGCAGGCCTCTCCCCTAACTTCCAGTGGTTTCCTTCTGCTACATCACCCCATATCTGCCTCCCTGTGTGTTCCCAGATTTCCCCTTTTCTTAAGATACCAGTCACATTGGATTAGAGCCCAACCACTCTCATACACCTCATCTTTTTTTTTTTTTTTTTAGATTCATTTATTTATGCTTACAGAACTGGGGTACAGGCCAGACAGTGGTGGGTGAGAGGACTCACCAGAGACAGGAGGGAGTAGGACAGGCAGATTGACTAAGTACACTACTGAGGGTGTTAGGGTCCGAGAACTCGATTACTGCGAAAGACAGAGCATCACACAAGAATGCAATTCGCAAAGTAGAGTTTATTGGGCTGGGTAGCCAGGGTCAAGCCGTTTCCTGCCAGACACGCAGGACTGAGGGTTCAGGCAAGACCCCGACCAAAGGAATGTCAGGGAATATATAGGCCTTATTGGCTGTTACACACGTCATAGCCCGTGCAAATTCAACTTAGCCAATGCATTCAAAGATTAACAGATGTCACAGCCTGGGTCACAGTTCAACCACCCAAGGACAGGTTTCCAGGAATAGATGTCTTATTTCCTGGTGCCTCCAGTCCAATCAGCCTGCGCCACACCATTCCCATTATCCAATCAATTTAAATGTACATTGTCCCTCTTCAACCTATCCTGCATTCCAGGGGTAGGAGTGGGGGGGGGGGTTCTTGCCTGGGCTAGTTTTGCTCAGGCCTGCGTTACTTCCTCCATTCCTTCAAGGGGAGCAGCCGGAGGGTAGGGAGAGGTCTGCCACCCCATGTGGGTTAGCTCCCTGGCAGGGGATTGAACTTGTGCTGCAGTGGCCTTGGAGAGCTTCATAATGTGGTGTTTTAACCCATTGCACCACCACGGAGAGCCCCCACCTCATCTTAATGAACTATATCTACAAGGCCCTGTTTCCAAATTAGGTCACATGCTGAGGTGGTGCTGGGGTGGGGGTCTGTCTAGACCTCAACATGGGAGTGTGAGGGGGGACACAACCCAACCCCTGATGCCTGGTATCTCCTTCTGGTCTCAGTGGTGCCACGAGTGGGGGTGAAAATGAGCGTGAGGACCTGGAGCAGGAGTGGAAGCCTCCAGATGAAGAGTTAATCAAGAAACTGGTGGATCAGATAGAATTCTACTTTTCTGATGAAAACCTGGAGAAGGACGCCTTCCTGCTGAAGCACGTGCGGAGGAACAAGCTGGGATATGTGAGCGTCAAGCTGCTCACGTCCTTCAAAAAGGTGAGATGTTCTTAGACATTGCCTTGAGGGTTTCAAGGCTGTTTTGGGTTGTGGTATTAAACATGTTTACCCTCCTTGAAACCTGATAACAATGGAATTTTTATCTCCTTTGAGAACTGAAAGAGAGAAATGATCAAGAAGGAGACAAAATGGTTAAGAATGTCCTCCCACCCTTTTAAAAGGTTCCTGGGTGTTGGGATGAGGCTTAGCTGGTGACAGTCATGAAATGACGTGGCTTGTTTTTAGTAAAATGCAGCCAAGTGGGTGGCCAGGAAGATGCTGTGCCAGGACAGGGGACTTGGTGACCTAAGAGACACCTACCATGCCCAAATTACATAAAATCCAAGATTTTGTTTGTCAAGTTGAATAAATCAGAGGGAGGAGGGGCAGCCAGAACTCTGGAGGAAGAGCCTTCTGTGCCACTGCTTCTTGCTGTATCCTGCCACAACCTCATCTGTCTGTGGAGAGCTGGGGTGTCACTGACAGTCCTCTGGGCAGCAGGCTGGCCCCTTGCGGTCGGCAGATCTAGTCACTGGGCTGTGATCCCCCTTTCCTCAAAGAGTTGACAGAACAGTTGGAGCAAACACTCGGTTTCCGTTGGGGGCAGTTTATTTACTAGAATGGAAAAGCACCACATGTCCTGTTGTGTAATGGGAGGGGTGGGGAACGGGTCTAGGCCAACGGCTGTGCACGTTGTCAGCGTGGGAGGAGAGCCTTTCTCCTCGGAGCTCTTTGCTGCCTTGCCTACTGGCGGACTTGGCCCTCTTCTTGTGCTCTCTTTCCTTTATTCACTCTGCAGACCTGTTCATTTTGCATGCATGGATGCGAGAGTTGCATTAGCCACAGGGTATGCAAAATGAGCATTCTTCTCTCCTTGGGCAAATCTGATAAAGGAGGGAGGACTGAGTGAAGGATGACAAAGTGATCTACTATGGGAACCTGTAAAGAGTATTACAGAGAAAGCAAAGTACTACTGAGACCTAGTTGATCAGAGTCACTGTGCTGTGTATGGAACTGAGAAGTCATGTGAGAGGTGATGGATGGCATTGAGATAGGGTCTTGGACGATGAGTAGGAAATTTCAGGGAATAGGAGGAGGGAATTTCCAGAGAACAGTGACCAGCCCTCACATGGAAAAGGGGCACTTCAAAATGAAGTAGTCCATGGAATCTCCCCGTATACGCTTTTTTCCTTCCCAGGGGCCATAAGTCAGCCTGATTTTCTTTCCTTTTCAAGCTGTCACGTATGGAAATTGATTTAGGACCTATTTAGGTTCTCTACTGCTGAAGGTGGGCTATCGAAGGTGGGCAACACTTCCAACATGAGAGCCAACACTCTTTTTATTCTAATGGATGTCCTGGCAATTGGAATAAGTAGCTCAGATGACTTTGCTTCTCACTCTGAAGGGTACAGGGTTCTGGCCAGAGGCTGCTTCTATGATGGTTCCCGCCTGAGAGTCAGCAGCTGCATGCCTCACACCCTGGCACTGGCCTCCTTCCCTCCACCCTTTTTGGATCCCTACTTGAAGTCCCACCCTTTCCTGGACCTACTTCTCTGCTCTTGACCTGTGTCATAGCGATCAGCCTGCAGGACCACACAGAATCATGGTGAAATATCCCAGGTCCAAGTCTGAACGATTTCACCCAGAGCCACAGGGTCAAGTCTTCAGGAGCCTGTCTGTGCTGCCTCAGGGCCATGACAGCCCCCACAAATCCCTGTTGTGAGCCCACCCTTCTTGAGTTTGGGAAGTTCCTGATTCAATTCAGGGTGTCACTGTGGAGCAACCGTGTTGGCCCAGCCTCTGTGGATTCAGCATGATCTTGCCATTGCTGGCTCAGGTTACCCACCCCACCCACACCCACCATTTCTTCAGGATGACTCATTCTCCCTGGCCTTCCCTTCACCGGAAGTGGACCTCTCAAAAATTACTGTCTTACAATATAAATATAGATTTCACATACTGCAGTGTCGACACACAGTTTCCACTGGAAAGGAGTGAGGAGGGACAATTTTGTCACTCTCCAGAAAGATCACGTTAGATTTAATTCCAACTTCAAACAGCCCACTTCATTTTCAGGAGCTATAGCAGTGAGATATAAAACACCTTTGGGAATATTCTGTGTATCAAATATATAGATACAGAAACTCAACTTCAGAGACACAGTGGATTGTTCAGTCTCTAAGTTCTATCAAAATAGTGGCATGTAATACTTGAAATTAGGATGACACATACTATTTATTGAGTCCTGTGAACTAGACACTATTGTTTTATATATAGGAAACATGTGTCTGGGTGCAGACATGTATATTTTTATAGATCTTTTTATCCTTCATACCTGCTCAATGAAGTAGAATCTATAACATCTTCATTTTACAAATGAAGAGTAAAACCTTGCAAAGTTGAATAGCTTCAGGTCTTACTGCTAGTTGAGGGTGGGCGTTGGGTCTGTGAGGGCAACAGTCTTGGTCCAGAACTGGTTTAACCTCTAAACTTGCATAGAGTAGAATATTTCCATCAGCAGGGGAAGTTCTGTTGGACAGCTTGCTCTAAGCTGTGCTATCACTTTGGGGTTGTATAAAGTATGCTCTTTCACTAGACAGAAGACAGCCTATGCACATCAGGTATGACGCTACAGGCCAGTGGTACAGGGTAAAGGGGAGAGAGGATAGAGGACACAAGGTAGACAAGGACATTAAGTGCCACTTCAGATTTGGTTTGTGTCCTTCAGGTGAAGCACCTTACACGGGACTGGAGGACCACCGCGCATGCCTTGAAGTACTCAGTCATCCTGGAGTTGAATGAGGACCACCGGAAGGTGAGGAGGACCACCCCTATCCCACTCTTCCCCAATGAGAACCTCCCCAGCAAGATGCTCCTAGTCTATGATCTCTACCTGTCCCCCAAGCTGTGGGCCCTGGCCACCCCCCAGAAGAATGGAAGAGTACAGGAGAAGGTGATGGAACATCTGCTCAAGCTCTTTGGGACCTTTGGTGTCATCTCATCAGTACGGATCCTTAAGCCAGGGAGAGAGCTGCCACCTGACATCCGGAGGATCAGCAGCAGGTACAGCCAGGTGGGCACCCAGGAGTGTGCCATTGTGGAATTCGAAGAGGTGGAGGCAGCCATCAAAGCCCATGAGTTCATGATCATGGAATCTCAGGGCAGGGAGAACATGAAAGCAATCCTGATTGGGATGAAGCCACCCAAAAAGAAGCCCCCCAAAGACAAGAACCAAGATGAGGAGCCTGCCTCGAGCATCCACCTGAACAAATCTCCAAACAAGAGGGTTGAAGAGCTTCAATATATGGGTGACGAGTCTTCTGCCAATAGCTCTTCTGACCCTGAGAGCAACCCCACGTCCCCTCTGGCTGGCCGGCGGCATGTAGTCACCAACAAGCTCAGTCCTTCTGGCCACCAGAGTCTCTTTCTGAGCCCCAATGCCTCCCCCTGCTCTAGTCCATGGAGCAGCCCCCTGGCTCAGCGAAAAGGTGTTTCCAGAAAATCTCCGCTGGCTGAGGAAGGTAAGCTAAACTGTAGCACCAGCCCTGAAATCTTCCGCAAGTGCACGGATTATTCCTCTGATAGCAGCGTCACTCCTTCGGGCAGCCCCTGGATTCGGAGGCGCCGCCAGGCTGAGATGGGGACCCAGGAGAAGAGTCCCGGAGCAAGTCCTCTACTCTCTAGGAAGATGCAGACTGCAGATGGGTTACCAGTGGGGGTGCTGAGGCTGCCCAGAGGTCCTGATAACACCAGGGGATTCCACGGCGGACATGAAAGGATCAGGGCCTATGTATAAATTCCTTATATTTTTACTACTAGCTCCATTGAAAACCACCTTTGTGTTCAGGATTCTGACAAACACCTGGCATGACACAGCGTGAAATTGAGTCCCCTTTGAAAGATTTTGTATACATGTAGACCTCTTAATTTATATATTTGTAATGTATATGAAATGTCTGGTCCACTATGGTTTAAGACCACCTTGTAGTTCTGAACACCTTTCCTACCAGCATGACTGTTCCTGTGATGACACTTGGTGTGGTGTGGATGAATGTCATGGCTCTGCAGGACTGGGGGACAGCAGACCTCATTTTCGGGGCAGGGTTCTTCCCTGCAATGACTGAACTGTCCTCAGTTGCCCATGCCAGGGTTTACTGAGCGCCCAGAGAGTTCCGTGATGTAATGGCGACTACTATACTAGCAGCATGGTGTCTGGTAGGACCAAATATATGTTTCCTGTCAAGTGAATAAATAATAAAACTCTCGACTGGGAGTGCTGGCTCTGAAGTCATAGACGGTGCCTGACAAAGTCAGTGTCCATGCTATGAGGCCCTGGATAGTGTGTCATGAGGACCCAAGGAGCTTAGCAGGGACCACTTTTGTAAATGTACCCCAGAGCAGCTGTGGGGTTCTCAGGACTTGGGTCAACCTGAGGGATCAGCAGAGTTTTCGTGGAGTTTAAAGTATGATGTCTTGTATCACAATGAATTCTACCAAGAGAATGCAGCTTAGTATAGACCAAATTGTCTAGGGGATATTCCTGGGCTGGCAGCAGTGATGTTACGTGGGAAATTGCTGGAAATGCAGATTTCCAGACCTTTCCCCAGACTTAACTGAGGCAAACATTCTGGGAAACTGGATTTTAACAAGCCCTCTGCATGATTGTCAGGCACACAAGTGTTTGAGGCCCAGAGTATGGGCAAAAGGAATTTGACTTTGCTCTCCCCCGATTATTACTTTTGTGACCTTAAGAAAGTTACCAGCGCCCCTTGACCTCATTGTAGCCCTTCCACATGCTTTATCTTGATGTTCATGTCCAAAGTGCTGTTGACCCTTCACAAATATCAGCGTCTTTCCCTCAGGTTAGTGTTTATTAGGACTGAAGGCTGCCATGGTGTGGCAAAAGGACCACTGGTCTGGATTCCCTTGCTGGCTGATCCCCTGCCAATTTGTAGGATCTTAGACAAGTCACACATGATAGAATTAGTAATTTTTGAACAATGACCAGAAACTAAGGATGTTGCTAAGAGTTTTTCATGTCCTTCTCATTTAACACTCCCAGCATCCACACAAGAAGGTTCAGATATTGTCTCTATTTTATAACAGAAGAAACAGACTTTATGTGGGTTACTAATTTGTCTAAGATTTAGCAGCAGTTGGTAGGGCTGGCTTGAATCTAGTAGTCTGGCTCCAGAGCCCACATTCTTTTCTAAAAAAAAGTTTTACCTCGTTAGCAAAGAGGTCCCTTGGTTATCACAGTATGTCTTTCTATATTTGTGTATACTGCATCACAATCACCACCAAAAGCCTAATTTCCACCTCTCACCAAACAGTTGGCTTCTTTACCTGTTTTACCAACTCCCTACCCCTTCCTCTCTGGCAGCCACCCACCTGTTCTCTGTATTTGCAAGTATTTGTAATACAGTGTTCTCTGTATTTGTTTTTGTTTCATTTTATTTATTTATTTGTTTTGTTTCTTTATCTACCACAGATGAATGAAATCCTCTGGTGTTTGTCTTTGTCTGATTTATTTCACTTAGCACAATTTCCTCATGTTCAATCTGTGTTGTCACAATGGCAAGGTTCACCTTTTTAAAAAATGCTGACTAGTATTCCATGGTGTATCCACATCACATCCTCTTAATCCATCACATCCACTCATCTATCAAGGGGCAGTTAGGTTTTTCCCCAAATCTTGACATCAATAAATAATTCTTCAGTGAGCAGCACGGAGGAGGGGAGGTGCCGGTGGGGGGAGGGGCAGTGCGCATATATCTTTTTGAATTAGTGTTTTCCAGTCCTCCAGGTAATTCAAACTCCATACTTCTTTGCATAGTGATTGTTAATTTACATTCCCACTGACAGTGTATGAGGGTTACCTTCTCTCTATCTCTTCATGAACATCTGTCATTTCTTGTCTTTTTGATAACACCAATCTCAACAGCATCAGGTGATACCTCATTCACATTTCCCTAACAATAAATGATGATGCATATTCTCCTGTGCCAGTTGACCATCTGAATGTCTTCTTTGGAGCTTCATCTATCCAGGTCTTCCACCCTTGATTGCATATGTCCTTTCTATATTTTGGATGTCAACCCTTTGTCCCAAATATGATTTGCAAATATCATTTCCATTCATTAGGATGCCTTTTTGCTCATGGTTTTTTCTTTCACTTTGCAGAAGCTTTTTGCTTTGATATTGTTGCATTTGTTCATTTTACTTTTGTTTCTCTTGTCATTCGGGTTGAATATCCATGAAAGCTTTGCCAAGGTTAATTAATGTCAAGGAGTTTATCACTACTTTTTTTCTGTGTTTGTTATGGTTTTAGGTCTTATATTCAGATGTTTTGTTCATTTTTATTTAATATTTATGTATGGTGTAATTTTCTTTCTTTCTTTCTTTTTTTTTTTTTTTTTTTTTTTGCTATGGCTGTCTGTTTTCCTAACATAATTTATTCGTAATTTTTTGAAAAGACCTTCTTTTCTGCATTGTATGTTCTTGGCTCCTTTGTATAAAATGAGTTGCCCGTATATCGTGGGTTTATTTCTACAGCATCATCGGATGCTGCTCAACATCGCTGAAGTTCACCATGCACATTCAAATCAAAACAGCCACAAAAGGTGCTAATATTTATTCAGCACCTCCTATGTGCTAGGCACTTTGCTGGACACATTTTTATTTATCTTCTCAGTGTTTCTATAAGGTGTTAGATACCACTGTACACATGAAACTGCCAAGGTAGAATAATACTCAACCATTGTGAAAGCAGAACAAATTCATGTCTTTTAAATTATATAGGTTTATACAAAATAGCATAGAATTGTTATCTGGTTAGTGTGTCTCTTAAGATCCCAAATCCTTCTTATCAGCTAGTAAATGCCTTCAGGAACTACCAGTTGTGGGTAATCCAAAGGGCTGTATCTGGACTCCAAGCCACCAGGCCACCAGGCCTCTTGATACTGGTCAGTGCCATGACCCCCAGCCCTAGGCCCGCCCTGTGTTTCACTCCTGGAATGCTCCCACATGTCCCCTGTCTGATCCATCGCCACAGCCAGCCCACCTGCTCCTGCACCACGGGGCATCTGGGCTCATCAGCTCTTCTTGGCCTGGTTCCATCAGGCTGTTCCACCCCTTATGCTCCAGCTCATAAGCTACAACTCTATTTTTAGCTTTGCTCCTGTGAATCATAATTACTTTTAAAAACTACCAACACCCTCAACTTTCTATATGCATACAGATGAATCTGGCCTTCTGTAGCCTTATGAAAGAACTCTGAATTTGGGTCCAGCAGAGATGGTTTATAGTCTTGGTTTTTCCAACAAATTTGACCTTGACAGTAATTTTTTTTTTTTTGAGTTAAACTTTTCTCATCCAGCCAGTGACTAACAAAAGAGGACTCTTAAATGAAGCCAGGTATGTGAAGGTGCCTTGTGAAATAAACAACACTTTGCAGATATTAGTCATTACCCTGCTCTCTGGTCCTCTCCAAAGACAAATCTTCTTTCTATTGCTCGATTGTGTAACCCTGGTCTCATCTTTTAGTCATCTAGAGAGCTTTACAGAAGTTCCTGTGCCTACCCTGAACTGTCTGGCTTTATTGGGTTTGCAGTGAGCCTGGATACCAATGTTTTTTAAAACTCTGGAGGATTCTATTGGGCAGGAAGCCTTGTGAAGCCATGGTCCGCTGGGCATCCCTGTCCTCCATCCCCAAGGCTGGATCTTCGTCTCTTGGTCAGCCTTCTTTCTACACGTGGCCCTTACTCCTTTCCCTCGATCACAGTGGCCAGATGCTGGTCACCTTGTGATGAACCCAAACTTTCTCTCTGGCCAAACCTTTAGCTGAAGCCAGGGCTTCCTGTTTGTTAGCATGGCACTCTTACTGGAATAACTTGACTGGAAAACTCAGTCAATAGTATTTTTACAGATGTTTTCATTATTTTCATTACTTTAACTGGCTTCCTCTCCATGTTGGACCTGATGCCTGCTGGGCATCTCTACTGGAGAGGCTGGTTGAATGTGCCAAGTCGACTCCCCTCCCCCACAAGTACACCCTCACTCCTGACTTTCTCTCTCAGCCAGTGACATTGCCATCTTCCACGCAAGTCTGTGTGGCTTTGTGAAGAACGCAGGTATGGAGTTCCATAGCTGGGGTTCAAATCCTCATGGCCTTTGTTTGACAAATGACTCAACAGCTCTGTGCCTCAGTTTTCCCTCCCATAAAGGGTGAGTGACAGCAATGCCTACCTCAAACGATTTGTCAGGACGAAATGTTTTGGTATTGTAAAATGCTTAGTAACTTGCACATCATAAATGCTCAGAATATGAGGAGGTCATAGATCTATTTTCCCCCCTATTTCCCACATTCAGTCAACAAATGAGTGTTGTTAGTACTAACCCTGATATGAGTCTTCATGCTTCCTTCCCATGTGCTTTCTCAGTCCAGACACCCTCCTCCCAGGCTCTTGCTATCTCCAACCCTTCTCTATAACCTAGTCCCCATCGTGTCACCCAGTCCATCTTACTAAAATAGAGTTCTGGTTACATAACTACTTTACTTTAAAAAAGAAAGAAAGAAAAGTGCTGACTGCCTCTTCTCTAAATGCAGAATAAGGGCCAAACTGCCTCCGTGTCATGCCAGGTTGTGCATCTTGGGGGAAGCCCTGAACCTTCACTTGGTTGATCTACCACCCATTGGATTGTGGGGTGACCTTCTGAGCTGGCTGGCCAGGCCTTCTTTCTGCAGTGTGTCCCTGCCTGTTTCTTGTTTATTCTCCTCACTCCACTCCAGGGTGTGGCTGAGTTGAAAAAGGCTCTGTTTGGGCTCTGGCACAGGGAAGTGAAACACACGAGAAAGCACTTTTTGAAGACACACTGGTCCCTGGTTATTTTTAAATACTTGCCCCAGATTGTGAGTGAGCTTTTTCCAAGAGTTTTTTTTCAGCAACATATTCTACTCCTTATGAGTCATAAACAAGATGGAGACTACCTAGAAACTAACTGCCAAGTTCCAAGGAGTCCAGGATCGAGACAGGTAAGCCTGGCTTCTTATTTCCAACTGCTACTCATCCTGGTGGGTGCTTATCCCACCAGGGTGGCTGCAGCCTGAATCCTCCGTATCCTACAAGCGAGCGTTCCTCAGGATGACAGAGATGTTGCCCCAGTCCTCAGTGTGCATGCTGGTGGAACAATCCCTGCTGGGAACTGGAATAACTGGGGTGGGGATGGGGACATGTTGGAGCCTGGATGCAGCCTCCGGGTGTACTGACCCAC